AGGGAATGCACTTTCTTCATCAAAAGGTCACTGCTCTAGGGAACATATTGCAGCATTATCTCGAGGTGAGGACTGCACCACGTGTCTCGTGGAGATCACAGCCCTGCAGACCTGCAACCCTCCCTCCCTCCTCAGCCAGGTGCCAGCTGCCCACAGGCAGTTACTCTACAGCTGCTATCTCAGACTGGTTTTGCTTCTGCTGAAGGTCCAGGGCAGATGTGCCTGTCTGCGGCTGAAGTCGGAGTCATCCGGTCTGACTCACCAGCCTGTCCGGGTTGCCTGTCATCGAGGCATCTCCCCTGCAGGGCTTTGCTGTCTCTGCTTGGCTGAAGTTGCTGCCAGCCCTCGAGCACCGGCAGTGCCCCTCTCTGCTCAAGTGACTTCCCCCAGCCAGCTCTGGTGAGAGGCAGGTGCATGCCGCTTTGGGTTGCAAAGAAACAGGTTCCCTGTTACCTAGCTGCTTTTCAGGCATCCCCAGTTTTGATTGCTACTTATTTGACCGCTGTCCTCTGCTTTTACTGTTCTGCTGGCAATACCCTCAAGCTTTGACGGTGGTTGCTATTTTAGCTGTTTTAATATTACGTAAGCGCAAAATGTCCCTTTTAAAGGCTTCAAGTCTTGTTGCTCCAGGCCCATGACAATCATTCAGAATTATTATTATTTACACAAGGTCTCCACTGCAACAAGCATTGTATAGCCACAAACAACCATCTCGGTGAGTTCCTTCTGTGTCTGAGCCTGGGCTACCACCAAAGCCCCAAGCGTAAAACCCTGCAGAGTCCAGGGAACTGCTGCTAGGGACAGAGCTTCAGTCCTAATTTCACTTTGGGTGATGGCTCCTTAGTGAAACTTGGCAAATAAAACTTCAGACTCCAAACAAGTTTTCCCTCTGCCAAATCAAATATGAGCCTAGCTTTTCAAAAGGCAGATCAAGAAAGTACAGATTTTGGCAGTAATACCATTTCTATTTACTGCAGTCTGATTTACTAGTTTGGAATTTGGGGGGAAAGGAGATATTTCAGTTTAAAATGGTCTGTCTTTAAAAGCAGCTGTGCAGCCAATTCTGCACAGTATGTGCCACATTTTGGGACAGGGAACTTACTGTACTTGCCTTACCAGGACACGCCAAAGACCTCTTCCCTTTATGCCTTGAAAGTTTAAAAAGCAGCACCTAAGAAAGGAAAACTGAGCAGCAAATTTCTCACTTGCCAGCAAGTACAGAGTAAATACTCCAATAAGTACTATCCTAATAGCATCTATACTGCTCACGGCTGTAAGCAGCAGCGTTGGGGACCAGACCTAGTGAACTACATAGTGTTTTTGTAAGCCCTTCTGCTCATTTGCTTCACTTAAGTATTTAAAAAAAAAAAAAAGCCATCTGTACAGGAGGGGCAGGGCAGAACAGACCTCTCAGGCAGGGAAGCAGTTAAGTAAGTGTGCCTGCTTTGAGGGGGGCAGCACAGACGCCACTGCCTCCACAGGCAGGGCTGTACAAGCCTCCTCGCTGAAAACCCTCTCTTTCTGCAGATGTCCCTCAGCTGCAGGCAAAGCAAGAGTGAAATGTATTCATACAAAACCAAAGGCTTGGGTGAATTAGTACCATTATATTCCACTCCCAGCGAGCACAGGGAAATGACACAACCTTTTTTCATGCTAGGTCCAATCTCCCTTCCACTCTTCAATCAATTTATGTCTTGAATCAACTTCTTGGATTTTTGCTGCTAAATTAGACAGTAAGCTCTCGGCATTAGAGAAATCACTTCTTCCATATGTTTTTATTCCCTTCCTCCCGCCCTGCAGCACTACCAAGTCCCAAATCTAATCATGGTTTTGAGGTACTGCAATACATGTCATTATGGACCACAACTGGATAAGTGCTCCTCCATGGTGGGAAAGACAACATCCGAAGCAGCACCCATCAAGCACATCTGCACCGGCAGGACAAGGACGTGCTACTGTGCCCCCTCTAAAGTTCCCGTTACACCCCAGCTAGCCATGCTTGCCAGGCACACTCCCTGCCCTTGCCTTTCACGCTGCTCATGCTCCTCCGGCAGTGCCCAAGCTGCCTGTAACCCTCTGCGCCTGGCAGCCTGAACGGCGACAGCGGGAGGCATCCGCTCCCAGTGCGGCTCCCCAGCCCATCCCAGCTCTGCGGCGACGGACATTTAGACCTGTCAGTTTAGAAGCAGAATGCTTATGAGGGTTGCTTTTCGGCACAGTTAGTAAGATGAAAATAATAGCTTCAAGGAAAATGCATCCATTTTCCTTTACAAATCCCTGGTGTGGAAACGTTTTAACTTTTAATGAAGTCCATCTGTGCTGAAGTGCTGGCTCAGAAGGATTTGCAGAGACAAGACATTGGTGTAGCTTGCTCCTTCTTCCTCCTCTTCTTTCATTGATATGGGAAGCCCTGAGCAGCGCCTGGATACTCTTTCTCAGAACCCAGTATCTTCCTTTGTTAGTATGAGAAATAGGCTAAAGATGCTAAAGAGCCTGTGCTTTCTAACACTGCACACCCACAAAGGATTACCTGGGAGGCCGTGAAAGGGGGGACATGATCAAAAACATAAACCTCAAGAATCAAGAGGCAAGCAAACAGTTGAACTATTTTAAAAAAAAAGCTATATGTGAGAGCAGGCACAAACACTTCTGAGAAGTTAATACCGCTGCTCATACAACTACAGGACAAGCAGTATTCAGCCATGCTTGCCAGTAAGTGGCTAACTTTTTTGGTATTCACCGTAAGAAGGTCAATCAGTATGAAACCACCATGCAGAGGTGGGGCAGCTGAAATACTTAATTTCACTGTAATTTAGCATTAATTAACGTCTTCTCTCACAAAGATGCAGGTGCTTTCTAGAGACCCTGCTGGAAGTCACTGAACCTTTTAATGGCAACACTGCAGGACAATCACATGGAGAAAGGCCAGGGATTCTTTTAGTCTGCACCCCAGACCTGAGAAACTAAGACATTTTCATATTTTCCTTGCTTGTTAAAGAAATAAAATACTGTTCTTGGTTTGATTGACTTTTAGATATCATTAACTAATGTACTAACGATATGATATTTTGTTTGTAGAACATTAGATATCAGAAACTGCAAGCATAAACACCATCTAGGGCCTAGCATGTACAGTGATTTTCATCTGGTAATAATTTATGGTATATCCTGTCTTTAATATACAGCAAGGCTTTATCAGGCTCAGGCAGGCTGGAGACTGACATTGTAAAGATTATGTGCAATAAAAAGGCTTGTTCCAAAAATTTATGCATGGAGAAAGTAATGGTTAACAGTAAGGCATATGCCTAGGAACGTGTTTTCTCCCTTGAACATCAGGATACTCTCACATGTGCAGACCATCCAAGGCGCGTGCCCAGCACAAATCGAGCAGGGGAACCTTGCTGAGCAGCAAGCCAAGTGTAAAATTCAGCACACTCCTCAGCTGTACAGGATTCACTTGCTAAATAAAGAGTACAAATTGGAGAGACACCAAAAAGTTTTAAGAGGTTCCACCTCTTGAAGCTGCTGTGCCTGTTTTCAGCCACACCTTCACGGAAAACCGGAGCAATGAAAATCTGAGCATGTCACAGGAAGCACAACCATCCCAAATACTGCAGCAAAATGTTTGGGTATTCACACAAACCTGTGCAACAACAGCCAAGCTGGTAACTAAGACCCAATCCGGGATGTGTTTTAGCACAGCTTGTCTGAAAAATGAACTTGCAAGAATACAGGGAGTTTAAAATCATCCATAATTACATTGTGAGAGTGAAATGAGTGATTCCACTGCACAGATATAGCTTCATCTTCTGAATATGCTTAATTGGATACTTCAGTCTTCCAAAGACTTTTATAATCCAAATTAGGCTGCAAAATAAAAAAGCACTCCCCCCAGAATAAGCAAAGGTGACAATGCCAGAAGCCCCCCCTAGAAGCAGACACACAGCCACGTGAAGACTTCATCATTCTCATGTCCTTCCATACTAACCAATGTACACACAGCTTTTAAGACTGCATTTAATTTCTTCAAAGCAGAGGGAAAAAGAAATGAAGATGAAATTTTATTAGACAGCTGATTTACTATGTGGAAATTAAATCTGGTTCTAACTTCCTAACAAACGACGGGTAGCACCAGCATAAGAATCTGCTTTTCTCTTCTTGGGAAAATCCAAAACTACACTTCCCACGGGTTCCTGACCAGTGGCTCTGGCGATACAGAGTTTCATAGGAAGAAGCATGTTTTTTTCTTGCTGAAATTAACAGAAAGCATATGGAGGATTTAGTCCTTGCATCTCTCCAAGCTAACCCAAAGATCTTTAAGGTAGAAAAAGAAAATTGGCAAGAGATTGTCCTGATATAAAATTTAGTTATTCTGGTATAGTGAAAATAGTTTTAAATTGGCAACACAACTACCATTAGAAAGTCATTTTACATGAACTGCAGCTAATTTCCAGCAGGTGCCCAGTGTGAGCCATTAAGGCCCAGAGGCTCAATCACTGATGCATATAAGATGGATTAGCACAACTCCAAAAAGCTGTTCCCTTCTTCAGTTTTTAAAGACACACATTCCAAAGCAGTCTCTAAATATCTGCTCGCCCATAGCTGAGCACCTTTGGCTCATCAGTGTGACCTGCTTTATGCCTCTCCACCAAAGGCTAGTTTAGACAAAGACGATTAAGCATCCCTTGCTCCCAATTCAAATAACCGTGCCACCAAGTTGAGTTCAAGGAGGAAAGGAATTCCAGTTCTGCCCTTATTTCAGCATTTTCTGAAACACCATATAAACAGCAAAAACAGATTTCCAGCAAATCTGAGTCAAACCCACTGTGAATCAAAGACACCCTTGAACTTTATTTGTTGGTTTTTGAGCAAAAAGGCTGTGTCACACAATCCTCAAAGTGTGATCAGGGCGCTACGATGGGGAACGCACTCTTCCGCTGAAAAGCCATGCAGCTCTTTGGGCAGGCAGAGTGACTCCCTTTGACAGAAGCTGTTCTTACCTCGAACATAAAGGTTAGCTGGGGCAGAGTAGCGGGTTCCCGCACTGTTGGTCGCAACACATTCGTATTTGCCTTGGTCCGACTCCTCGCTGTTCTCTATTTGCAGAGCTCCTGTGCACAAACAAGACGACACAGACAATTCAGGTTATGGCGTAGCTGGCGACTGAACAGACAGCCTCAGAAGACCAAGGCCATGCCCCACGTTTTTAAAGTATCTTCCTGGATAAATACATCGTGCTGTTGCTCCCTGGACCCACAGGGTACCACAGCGTGCAGCCACAAGCCACAGCCGTTCTGCTGGTAGAAGTTTGTGAAGTTGATTATTGTTATTTTTTTAATGCACAGGGAACCAGTTACTGATGCATTTCCAACCGCCCCAAACACTTATATTCATTGCTTCAATAAAGGGAAAAAACATACACATACACACATATTAATTAAAGCTTCGTATGGGACTCCTGTCTAATAAAAGGACCTTTAATAAGCCTTTACTCAAAACAGCCAAGCACCAAGCCCACTAACAGCAGCTCTTTGTTTCTCATCTGATACACACAAAGCCTGGCAAATACTCAACAAATTGTGACCTTCCTGCAGAGAGAATGGCAGAGCCCCATCTTTCCCACCTCACCATCCCTCCTTCCAACAGACAACCCCTTTTCAGAAAACACTTTCCCTTTTGTCAGCTTTCCCCAGGTCAGTGATCTCCTTGTCCTTTCAGATTTGATTAGATATGATGTAAACGGTCAGAAATTCAGTTTGAGACATGAAAGGTATACACAAATGCAATACACACTTTTTGTCGCGTGGAGCTCCTGTGAAAGCCACCCTCCCTTGCTCATGGCAACGCCGGCTCCTCCAGCCTCGGCCTCGGGAACGTTTGCTTAGCACCAACTTCAGGTTCCTCAGGACATGATCTGACCCCATACCCACAGTGCCAGATGCACCAGGGGCACACCTAAATAATTGCAATAATCACCAGAGCACATGGGAGCATTTTATGCAGGGAGCGCCAATAATGGGCAAATGAGGTGATCTAATGCGGGTTTCTCTCATCTGCTTGCCTGTGCCGCTCATGTCCAGCGCTGGCTGGCCTGGAGGGCTGGTCTTTCACCCAACTGCTTCTCACCCACCACAGAAGACTGTAAAACTGGTCACATCTAAACCCCACTAACTCGTCCCCGTATGGAGACTAAAAGATGGAGGTGAAGAAAAAGAAAGCAGTAGGATGCATGCGACAGCAACAAGGCACTGCAGGAGCAAACAGCCATTGGCCAGACACTAAAGCGGCAGTCGCTCAGCCTGCTTCCCCCAGGCAACACAGGAATAACTTCTGAAGCACCTCCAAGTGCTCAGATTCTGCCAGTTAGGATTGCTTGTAAGAAGGGAACTCTGCTCACAAACCAGGTACTGAACTGGAAGAAAACATTAACCCCTTTGCTTGTAAGGATTTGAACTCATTTCTGCCTGCCACGGTTCAAAACGACCACGGAGCGCAGCACTGAGAATAGCTGCTGAAATTCCCTTCTCCTTTCTTGCTGGTTCAAGCTGTGGAGGTCAAACTCAGTTTTTCATATCATCAGAACAGAAGGAAAACTAATGTGAATCAACCACTGCCACCTACATTATTTAGAAGGATAAATTGAGACTGTAGCCTAAGTCTATATGTCATGGGGAAAAATGAACTTCACTGGGTTCTGCCATATAATAAAAATGATGTACAGAGCCCTCCCTATTGTTGCATTAGTGCTGGAAACGAGGCTTCAGTTAGAGAAAGCTTGTTTGCAGAAGTCTCTCCACCTACTAACAAAAGGAGCTGCCAGCTTTCCCTAGCCACGGAGCTCTCTGGACACCCACAGCCCAAAGCCTACAGAGCACTGATGCTTAATTCAGGGAGAACGTCGAATTTCTACATGCTATCCGTGAAAAACATCTTCAAGTTGACAGCCGCATGACAGGCAGCGGAGCAGGAGGAAGCTTCCCAGCACTGACAAGCTACAGAGAATCAGAGACTCTAGGAATGGAAAAGACCTATTAGGTTATCTTGTGCCTCCCTGGGGGTCAGGGCAGGATTGTTCCCTGTTGTACGTGTACTTGTGTTCTGTCCAATCCCATTTTAAACGTGCCAAGTGATAGGTCTTTCACCACTTCCTCCAGGAATTTATGCCACAGCGTGGTTATGCTCTCTGTCAGGAAGATTTTCCTGGAACTCGCCGTGTATTATCCTCTTCATTTCTGCTCGTTACTCGGTGGGCACGCATTTGCTGCAGCTAATTCTGCGCGCTCACATTAGGCTCCTCTGGCACGAGCAGCTGGCTGCAGAACATACCCAAGTTGCAGTGCCCTCCGCTGCGCTGCACTCCCTCAGGTGCACATCGCTAGGACTCTGTGGGGTTGTGCTGCTGTATAAGCTCCTGCTCTCTGATTTTTCCTCCCTTTCTTCCCCCTGTGAAAGAGGGCCAGCTTCAGGTGACAGGCAGCAGTGCCTGCCTAGGAAAGAGTTAGCAGGTAACCCCCAGGTAAGATCCCTAGAGAATTCTGCAGTGAAGACATACCTTTTGCTGTACCCCTTTCAGCCATTTAACACCTGTCATTGGTGTTTATATCCTTTATGGCTATGCCATCTTGGGATCGCCATGCCTCTTAAAGAGTAGTTTGACTAACTGACATTTATTTCTTTTCTCCAACACCAGTTCTGGGGAGGGAAGGGAACAAGAAAAGAGGATGAAGAAAATGAAGGTGGAGGGGAGCTGCAGATCATACATTATTATTGCCTGTCTGTTCCGCAGCCAGAGTGGACACAGATTGGCTATGGGAATCGTACTACAAACATCAAACATATGTCAGCAACTGTCTGCAAACTGCTCAGAGACATCGGGCAAGTGATTCTGGTTTTATTTGGGTTGGCATGACTGCTCAAACTATAGCACGTCAAGAGCAAGAGAGAGCTCAGAAAGCAGGAGGTTAAAGCGAACCCTTCAACTGAACCAGAAAGAGAAAAAAAAATTAATGAAGAGCCCTCAGTATAGCTAAAAGCTAGCAGAAAGCAGAAGCATCACAGCACACTGATAGCAGCCGGAAGGACTACGGAGGTTGTTTTCTCAAAGGACGGCCTACAACTAAGCAATGGGTACAAGAAGGTATAGAGTTATCTGAGGGATACTTATATTTATCAATAAATACTCAGACATAGCTGGAAATCAAAAGAAGAAAAAAGAAAAAAAAAAAAAGCATCTGAGCTTTGGGAAGAACTCCCAGACTGCAAAGTTCTGCAGGCCCTCGGAGCTTGGCCATCCCAGAGAAGGGCAGTAGTTTCACCTCTTAGAGAATCCAGGTCTAGACTGGATGGGACATCAGGACCCACATGAAAGGTAGAACCGAGTCCTGAGCAGCTCCTATCTTTGAAGTTCAAAAAAGCTGTATCTGAAGACCTGTGAAGATCTGTATTTGAAGCTGTATTCAAAAGTGCAGTGAATTCTTTTCTTTGACAAGAGCAGAGGCCCGGGAATGCAGGGACCTGATTTCTATTCCTAGCTCTGCCAATGGCTCATCTTACAATCCGTTGTGCCTCTGAAAACCAGGGGGAAGAAGGCTGATTTACTTCCATACAGTACATTGGGATTTACGTCGTGAAACTTGCTGAGTAAGGTCTTCTTCACACAGGATATTACAGCAGACTTATGTGGAGTCCTCGAGTGCTTCTGTGCTGTGCACCGCCTTCTCGTTTGCATGGCTGAGTTCTGACATGCGATCGGGTGATGCTCAGCTCTAGCGGATGTGCGAGGACCATCTACCAGGAGGACGGGCACACATGTATTGGGAGGAGCAGTGAACAGCTCGTACGGGAGCGCCTGTTCAGGCTCTGCAGCAGTATGCATGCATCAAAGCGAAACCTCTTCCTGCCGAGCACCACTCGACTGCTGCTACTGCTGGAGCAGCCTGAACCGCAGCAGGGCTTCGGCAGAAGAACGGGCAGCCGTGCCTTGCCATGCTGCGATGACACGTTGATCTCGCTCACAGATCTGATCTGTTCCTCGTAACATGTTTCGGCATATCAGAGAGCTGCAAGCTCCTGAGAAAAAAACCCTGGCTGCTCTCCAGTACCAGGGAGAAGAGCGACAAGGCAGAGCTTTCAGGAGCTGAGGGCAGAAACATGTCCTGCTGATTGACAAGCATCCCTTGTAGGTACTCTGTGCTGGTATCTCCGTGCCAGTCCCTTCCCTCCTCTCCTAGCTTTTTCTTTTGCTCTTTAAACTTGGGCACTGACAACAGCCCCGTTAGCAGCTCTCCAAGATATTTATCTATTCAAATATACTTGTGCTTAGGCAAAATCATGAGTAGCAGTGACAGTGTTTAAATGAAGCGTTTAAAAAGTTAAACACAGAGCATGGAGAAGGCAGATCCTGGTAAGAGCCCTTCTTGGCAGGCCTGTGGGGAGGGCTCAGTTCTGCTGTGCCCCAGAGGGCTTGTCACTCACTGCTTTAGGTGACAAATCAAATATAAAAAGCTCTGAGCTACAAGCTGATCTCCCTGAAATCCTGCTCCATACCTCATCAAGAGAAGATGATAGCTCCATAGCTCATCATGAGCACCCACAAAACATGACATGGGAGCCAAACTGGACAGCTCTTGGGGCTCCTCTTCCACCCCTATTCAGCTTGGACCTCTGTGCCTCGCAGTGGGAGCAGCTCCGTTTCCCTAGCAGGGGTATTTGGTATTCATAGCCTCAGCCAAATTACACAGGGAATAAAATGCTCCTGTAATTACCCAAGGAGTCAGGGAACCCAGGTTGCTGTCACAACACTGACCTAAGGAAAGGACTTGCAACGCAAATGTGAATGAACCCAGCTACTTGACCAGGTCCCTTTTTCTCAGGCAGCTGAAAATAGGTATATTTTCCCCTTCCTGCATGCTAGAGCATGTGGCTACCCCAAACCCCTTCCATCTCTCTCCTCCTGCCCTACCACATCAATATCCTCCGCAGAAACACCACCTGACTTTTACTGAAGCAGTATTCTTAGTCACCCCTTCAGCTAGTGCTCAGATGTGGATCCCAGTCCCCCTTTTGCTAAAAATTCACTCGCAGAAAAAGGAGAATCCTTCTAATAAAATCT